CTGGACTGCTGGGAGTTTGGACAGCATTCTAAGGACTAGGGGAGCTATGGAGGGCTGTAGAGGGATAGCACGGCATAGCTGCCGATTCAGAGAACCCCCCTCCTGCTGCTGTGAGGAGACTGGAGCGGAAGGGACAAGACTCGGGGGCTGGGGGACCGGCGAGGAGGCCGTGGCAGTCATCAAAGAGACAGAAGACGCTGGCCTGGACCCGGGGGGGGAACGGCAGTGGTGGAGAGGAGAGGAAGGAGCTTTAGAGGTGGAATCGGAGGGGCGTGCAGACAGACAGGAAGTGTGTGTGAGGAAAGGGGGACGGGAGGCCTGAGAGAGCCCCTCGTGGGGCAGCCAGAGGGGGCCCAGAGGCGGTTAGCAGACTAACACAGGGCCGGACGAGTGGGTGAGTGGTGACATCAGCTCGGACCAGGGTGGTGGCAGTGGGGGCCGGGAGGGGAGCTGTGGAGGGTGGAACCCACAGGCCCTGGAGACCGTGGGGGTGGGTGGGGTTGAGGCCCCCCAGGTGTCTGATGGGGTGGGAGGTGCACAGGATGAAGCCTAGAGAGCGACCTTGAAGGTATCCGGCCCCCAGGATCCCGGTCTGGAGAGTCAAGGCCCCAGCCCTGCCTTTTGACCTCCCTAAGCTCCAATGAGCCCCACGCATAAAATGGGCGGCGATCTGACCTCCCTGAGTGGCCGTGGGGAGTCCGCGAGGTAACAAGTTGAACCCCCAGCACATAGTAGGTGCTTGGGAAATAAGGGGGGCGCTGGGGGCAGCTGTCCCCAGTGCCACAGCAGGTCAGACTCAGAACAGAGCTCATCCGGGATTCCTCTCGACAGGCCCGACAGATCCCTGATCTCGGTGCACAGGCCGGGCCGCGCCCCAGCCCTCTGCGTCCGCTGGCCAGGCCAGCCGAGGAGGGGACAGCTGACTCTTACCCAGTGGTGGTCCGTGGGTTATCAGGATGTCTACGCCTTCGGGAATGAGGTTCCATTTCTCAAGCAGCGCTTGGCCTCGCGGGAGGTTAAAGCCCCAGCCGTAAAACCAGGGCTGCCTACAGAAGAAGAACAGGCAGTTCAGAGGGGACCAGTGAGCGCGTGGGGCGATCACGGGAGGGGGAAGCAGGCCACAGCTCCCAAGAATCTTCAGGGCTGGCTCGATGCCAGAAACCCAAAGTAAAGATGGGTATCGCCTGTACTTAGCCAGAATCCTGACCCACTTGTGGGCCGTGAGATATCCCGAGCATTCTCTTCCCTTTTCCCTTCCTTCAGCACACTTTCTGGTTTTCTATGATGAATAAATATTATTTGTGTCATTTTTATTTATTTATTTATTTATTTTTAACGTTTATTTCTTTTTGAGACAGAGAGAGACAGAGCATGAACGGGGGAGGGTCACAGAGAGAGGGAGACACAGAATCGGAAGCAGGCTCCAGGCTCCGAGCGGTCAGCACAGAGCCCGATGCGGGGCTCGAACTCACAGACCGCGAGATCGTGACCTGAGCCGAAGTCGGCCGCTTAACCGACTGCGCCACCCAGGCGCCCCTATTTATATCATTTTTAAAAACGAGAGTTTAAAAGAACCAGCTTCTGCCAAAGGCCCCTCTTGTTCCAAGCCCTTCCGAGGAAATTCACAGAGAACGCACTCACCTACCCCTCCCCGGGAAAATGCTCTCCCGACCCCCCGCCCACAGTTGGGGCAGAGGGAGACTCAACCCAGAGAGAACGGGTTCCAAGTGGAGGACGCCCGTTCCTGCTTTCCCCTGAAGCTCCCACCCAGGCTGAGTCCATCCCAGCTCTAAGGACAAGGCCAGAGGGACCTAGGCCAACGAATGGAATCTCAACGTCACACGTAGACTGAGCGATACAAGCCATTCCCTTGGGTTGGCTCCACGGTGAACATGTAACCTAGGTCCCTCCCCGTGGACCTAGGATACTGTCATCCCTGTGTATCAGTCAGTGAGCTCCTTGCCCTGGAAGCTGTCAGCAGCTATTAAGCTGTCCCAAAGGGCGACGGCTGGACCACAGGGCCCTGGGGAGCCGGCCAGATCAAATTCACACCAGACACCCCCCATACCTCTGTGCTTCTCAATTACATGGGCCAACAGGAAGCCATTTGATTGGGTTTTCATTTCTAACAAAAGCATCCCCGCTAAGAAACATCCCTTAAGCACTAAGTCGTTATAAGTTCCCACGTGAGCATAGCCTGTTGGTGTTTACAAAGCCATCAGCATCGCCACAGTTATGGGGCCGAATCGTGTCCTCCAAAAACATATGTTGAAGTATTAACCCCCAGCACCTGAGAATGGGGCTCTATTCAGAAATAGGGTCCTTGCAGAGATCATCAGGTTAAGATGAGGTGATACCAGATTAGGGCGTGCCCCTCATCCGATGACGGGTGCCCTTACAAGGTCATGTGAAAACAGAGACACAGAGAGAAAAGGGCCATCGACGATGGGCTTAGAGATCAGAGCGATGCTGTCTCCAAGAGAAGGAGTGCCGAGTACCCCTAGCCACCACCAGAAGCTGGGGGAGGACGGATTCTTCCTCAGGACTCTCGAAAAGAACAAACCCTGGTGACACCTTGATCTCAGACCCCAGCCTCCGGACCGCGAGAGAGTGAATTCCTGCTGTTTTAAGCACCCTGCCGCCGCCACCTCCCCACCCCAGGGACTTCCGCACCCGCGGCAAGGGTGGGCAGCCAGGTCTCTTCCAGTTTTACGGATGAGGAAACTGAGAAGAAGGGAGCAGGAAATAGAAACCGTCACCTGCGTTTCCTGGATTCCTACTTTTTTTTGGCCAGGTGCCATCTAAGCACATCACAGGGATGGCTTACCGGTCACAAGAACCCTGTGAATTAAGGACTAAAGACGATCCCCATCTTACAGATGAGAAACCAGAGGCTCAGAGAGGTGAGCTAGCCTGGGGATTTGGGCCCCAGCGTGTGCTGACTCCCGGGCTGGGCACCTCACTACCGCTCGCCCGGCCAGCACAGACCATTTAAGTCAGCAGTGGAGCTGGGCTTCTGACTTCCAAGTCTCTCCCGTGCCCGAAGCTGCCACTAAAATCCCTCCCACGGCCCACATGCCCTTCCACGGTGAGACTGAGGCCTCTGGCGGTCGACCCAACAGCTCTAGCTTTTGGCAGCCACCCAAAGCACCTCTCTGGAACCCTGGGGGTCTCAGAGAACACACTTTGAAAACCCTGATCTGCTCACAGCAGGTTCCAGACAAGGAGACTGAGGTTCGGTGAGGGGCGGTGAGGGGCCCAGGGGCCCGGGTCACACAGCTTGTGAGTGGAGAAGTCAGTGCTCAGCCGGATCGGACACTCTCTCCCCTCGGCCTTCAAAGCCCCGTCTATTCCGTTCCTCCTCTTCCCTTGCACATCCGGGACCAGCCCAGGGGCAGGGAATAAACGGCGGGTTGACAAATGGTGTTGAGTGAGGCCTAAGTGAATAAATCAGTCTGTTAACAGCTGCCAAATAGGACTTTTCCTGTTGCCTTGGGATTGAAGCCGAAGCCTCAAAACTGAAAATGATGCCCCGTATCCAAAAGACAGACCCCAGGTGCCACCCAGGAAAACCTACAAAAGTGGGCAGAACCTACCGGGCCACCATCTCCCCAAGCCCCTGCCAGCCTAAGTTTTGGCCTCGAAGGGAAGGGTTGTAGCTCCTGTCTTGTTCTGTAGGGGGAGCCAAGGAGGGTTCCTCATACCAAGAGATGAATGGGCCCCAGGAGAACCACCTGGACCGGTGAGGGCCTGGGATCTGCACTCTGAGCCTAAGGAGAGATAGATGGTGAGAAGCAGGCACAGAGGGACTGGGTCCCCAGGTTTGGGCTGCCCAAGGGACCCCCAACCACCGGAAGCACCTGCCAGGTGATAAGACCAGGTGGCCGGGGCTGGGGAACAGCATCTGGGTGGGTTGGCCTTGGGGACAGTGCCCTCAGAAGACACCTCCTATCACTGGCACATCCACATAGGGCTGCCCTTGCACATCTGAACAAAGGTGAGAGCTCTCTCCACAGAAAATGCACCCCTGCACGCACACAATTTTATACCCAACTTCATGGCAACCTTGGGGTCAGACCGAGCTGAGTGACAATGGGTACACCTCTTACTACCCGTGTGACCATTGGCAAGTGACTCAACTTCTCTCTGGGCCTTAATTTCCCCATCTGTACACGGGAATAATAATACCATCTCAATAAGGCTGGTGGGAGGAATAAACCAGTGATTCCACCTAAAGTGCTTCAAACAGCGTCTAGTTCAATGCATTTCAGCCGCCATAATCACCCCCATCACCATCGGCATCGTCCCCATCACTCTCACCATCATTGTTGTGGGCCCCTCCTGAAATTCATCCACGGAGCCTGCATGAAAAACCTTTGACCTAGGGCTGGGTTTTTCAAACGGCATTTTGATGGGTCCCAACATTTTTTTAAAAAAGAAAAGAAAACATCACAGAAAAAGGTCCCTCCTAGCAGGGAAAGGATTCTTCAGTTAAATATATTTATATTTAAATAGACACCCACGGATAGATGTACTGAATCACAACGTAAAATACTTCTCCTACCACGGTTCCTGGTCAGAAACGGTTGACAGTCCCGCTCCAGGGGCCAGCCCAGGCTCCTGCCCTAATACGCTGAGCTCCTGGCTCCGCGGTTTCTGAGGCCCTAGAACCCTGAGCGCACGCAGAGCCCCGCTTTGGCTGAGCCAGGGTTCAGGCACTGCAGGGAAGGCGGCAGCATTCTGGAAGCCACTCAGAAAGCCAAGCCTAGGGGTCCTCCCAGGAGCCCAAAGCCCCGTCAGCCTCCGGGGAACGGAGCAACGTGTTTCTGGTGCTGCCTTCCAAATACAGGATCCATTCTTCAAAACTCTAATCAAATATTTACAAGACGGGACGAGGCCTCATCTGCATGGAGAGAAGGCATCTGTTAGTTCCTGTGAGCCACAGCAAGGGGTGGCTTTTTGAAAGAGACGCTTAGAAATCCATCAGAGACCCCGCAGACCCCCAGATGCCAACCCACGCTTGCCTCCGCCTGCCCGGCTTCTCCTCGCCCAGCACCACGGAGCCTTCCCCTGGGGGTGGCGTCTCCCCATAGGTGCACCTGCCGAGTTCTTAGAGACTCACCACCTCGAGTCCTGGGATGGTGGAATCCACCCTGCCCCCGGGGACGCCCTGAGAGGCTGCTCAAGGCCCTGAAGTTGGCATCAGACATCCTTCCTGGTTCTGCCCCCGGGCCGCTCACTTTACCTCTCCCAGCAGGACAATGGTGCCTATGTCCCCAGGCGTTACCCCATGAGGGCAGGGGTGGGGGTCCTTCTTGTTCAGTGCTGTACCCCTGACACAGGGGGCAGGAAAAGAAGAGAGGGAGGAGGTTTAAAAGGACGAAGTTGTACTTCCATTAGGAAAACGCTAAGCACCCAGGAGCTCTGTCAATGGGAAAAGGGGGTGTTTTAGCTCTTACTGAAATTTTAGGGGGAACAGGAAGAGGGTGAAATCACACAGGCAGACATCCACGGGAGACATTTCCCAGGATGGCCCACGGGTTGGGGAGCACCCTTGTGGGGCCAGGGGCTTTCTCCAGGGTGGCCAGGAGCAGGACCAGAGCACTTGGAGAGACAGCCTCTTCAGGGTGAGCACGCCCCCCAGAGGCCTTAGACCAGCCCACGGGGCCCGGAAAACTCTGCAGCCCCTCCTGGGTGATGTGCATTTGGGTTTCTGCCACGGGAAGAGTGCCAGTTCAAGGTGAAGTCGGCCCCAGATGGCCCGTCGACCTCCTCCTCCTCCGCTCAGGCCCCTCGGGGCCAGAGGTGAAGTGCAAGGCTGCCCGGGTTTCCAGGCCGACGGCAGGGCAGGCAGAGGCTCAAAGGCCTCCCACCTGAGCAGCCAGGGTCCAGCACCCCCACCCGCCCCCGCTACTGGCCCACCCACGTCGGGAGCAGCCAGTGGTCTGGGACTGCGAATGCCCAAGACAGGATCCCGGGACCCTGCAAAAGAACATTCCCCGTCTCCAGCGTGACCTAGCCCTGGGACCCAGCCTCGCCACGAGGA